CAAAAGGATGGCAGTTCTTAGAATCAGGCTTTGCAAAAAATGCAACACTGCTGTTCAAAATGTATAAACTGCTTGTAAAAAGGATTGATGTGCAAAGTGTTCTACCTGCCTCATGACTATATTAATAACTGGGTTATATAGATATGTATATGGCTACAGCTCTTTTGTGTTCTGCATAAAATAATTGTTTGTCAGTAGCCTTTCTAGCAAATAAAAAAGAAAATTTGAAGTATTTTGCAATAAAATAGACCATACCATTCTTAATCCAGCAAAATCTTTCCAGGGCTCAATGCAAAACAGGAAGTCCCACTCATGAGATGCTTTTTAATTTATCATTTGGTGGCACACAAGCAGATCATTAACATTATTCAACATTATGAGAGCAATAGTACCAACAATAAAAGATAATTAAATAGGATTTTTATTTAAATTTAGTTTTGATTAATGATATTGTTGTAAAATTTTACCACAGATGAATAGATATCAGCAAATGGAAATAAAAAAGGGTGATCTTTCTTCAGTTCAAATCTTGAGAGAAGACTGAAGGAGGCTTCAGTGAAAGGCTTTTGAATAAGAATTTCTTCCTGGTGTAGAAGGGAATGTGTAGGCAGACATTTTTCTGTCTTGGTCTTAGAGGAAAACCCATGTGATAGGGATCTGAAAGATGTGGTGGCAGTCCTTACCAGGGAAAAATAAGGGAATGATGATTCATTCCACCTTAGAAACTCATCTTGGGATGAATATTAGTCTCTAAAGAACCCAATTGTTCCCATGGAAGACGAAGCTTCCTAACTTAGATTGAAAGTCAGCCTGCTAAAGTTAGTGTTTCTCAATATAATTTAATGTTATTCACTTTAGTGTTAATTTATGCCTCATTGCCACATTTCCTTCTTGCAGCAGAGCTTCAATTATCATGTTTGTCACCTGGCTGCTTCACCCAAGCCTCTAACATGAAGGAGAAAGAAGCCTTTACCACCTCAGGGCACAGAAACACTGGATTCCTTGTTTTGGCTGGAGGCTGTTTCCATAGGATTTGCTGTCTCCTACTCACCATGTTCTCTAAATGATATTGGACTAGTAGCTTTGGGTTTATTCAGAATTATGGTTGCTCCCACCTCTCTCCATACACAGAAAACTTTGTTTTGAAATCAAGTGGCAGAAGATATGTATGCAGCATGGTTTAATGAATGACCTACTTTGGGAGCCAGAGTCAGAGCAGCAGCCCTAGTGCAGAGAGGTGAGGACTTTGGCAAGGTTGGATACCTTAGTCTTGTGGAAAGAACAAGCTGATGCTTGTATCTCTATGATTTCTTTGGAACTGCTTTGGGATTCTCTATGCAGCACTGCACTTTGTCAAGTAGACATGTTGGTTAAGTTAATATATGCCTAATAAGTATATATGCTCAATGAAGACAGATGAGATAATTTTATGTAGAGAAGTTTCTTAGAAGAACTGTGGAGCTTGTGACAGAGAAGCAGTTAATTCAGCTGAAAAAGTGTATCTAAAAAGGCACAGCATGTGTTTGGAGAGGGATGTTCAAATTGTGTTACTTAATCAGGCATCGTGAAATGATTATTTTTGAAAATATTTTGGCAAGATCTCCTGACATGTAACAGATAACTTGCAATTTCTATTCCATGCACTCCAGTTCTGGGAGGAAAAATCTCTGGTTTAGTTAACAAAGTTCACTTTCTTTGGAATTCCACTTTTTCCTGGGTCACAGGAGTGATGATGAACAGTGTTGAAATAAAAAGGTCCAAAAGACTGAGACCAAGAGTAGTTTCCTTCCCCAAATTAGGGAAAGGAATACTGTCTGTAAGTTTGCCACAGACCCAAGGACAGCATGTGTAGAGACTGACTGAAATGTATGAGTCATGCCTAGATATAAGATTTGGGATAGTCTCCCAGACCTCCAGCTATGGCTGGTGGAGACATGGGGGTCCTCTGAAGGTAATTCACAGCTGGAGCCTAATTTGGATTCCTGAATCCCCACCCAGAAGCAGCTGTAGAAGAGACTTAGTCCAGACCTTCCTTTGGCTGGCCTACAAACCTCAGTGGGAAGCTGCAGGTTAGGAACTGTGCCTATTTCCATTGTCCCTTTTATGCCAGCATAGTAGGTTCTCCATATGTAGACTGTCTTCTAGGTCTGCTGATAGTGCAGTGATTCTTGGCCTTGACATTTGCAGTTCAGGGACTAAATCAATCTCCTAAGACTAAATCCATATTCTCTGCTAAGAAAAACCTGTTGAAAATGATGATTTGAAAAACTCAGGAATCACAGGGGAATGAGTTACTAGGACTAATTTAATGTATTTCACAAAAGTTGCCGAATAAGAAATTAAGAAAAAGCAGTAATCTCAGTGTGCAGGGTCACTTCAGCATCCTCTTATACTATTATAGGGATGTAGAAGTCATGACCAGTCCTGTGGGCTTATGAGCCTGCTGCTTGTGCTGTCTCAGGCAGTATGAATACTCCATTTGTACTGCTAATCATAGGAATCATTGTGCAGCTGAGTAGAATAGAGGAAGATTACTGATTAATAAAAACCTTCTGTAGTTAGGTATCCAAGGAACAGAGAATTCCTCTGGTCTTTAGAAGGATATTTGTTTTTACTCACAATAAGGGCATCTCACAGAAGTTGCATTTATTTTCCATTTTGCAATGCAAAACTCTTTCCCAAGGTGTTCATGTACTATGATCTCATTAGGGAAGTAAAATTAATGGTGAGCTAGATAAGCGAAGTCTTCCTTTGAGGAACCTAAATCTTCCTCAAAATTACATTTCTCTCTAAACAGCACCTTCCAAGGAAATCTTAGGTACTAGTCTTCAATAGGTCTGGAAATAACTTTGATTCAACTTTCTTGATATTTATGTTTGTACAGGAGAAGGATGAGAACAATATAGATAAGAGTTTTTGGTTTTTATTCTCTCTTTTCCTTTGTTGGTACTATTTATGCCAAGTACTTTTCTTGTGAGTTCATAATTTTAAAAGAGACATTCCAACTAGATATCAGTTTGTGTATTTGTTTATTTGCATGTACCTCTCTGATGTAAGAAAGTGAGCTAAGGGAGAGAGAGCTGAAGTGCTCAGAATTGTTTATCATCATTAGATTTTGCATCCTAAATAGCCTTCTGAAAACTTCTGCCCAGCTGCTGCATAGCTTGGAGTTGTTGAAAAGTCTGGAAGCTGGTCAAGGGTAAATCTGCTTTAGTTTGATCTCTCAGCTCATTTACCAGGTTGTGAACAGCACAGGGTCCTACATCTGGCCTGATAACTCTGGGAAGGCTTCCAAGAGAAGTCCCACTCCCCCCTGCCTTTGCAGTGGGCTCGGGAAGCTAATTCCTTAGGAACATGCTGGGATGGAGTAGCAGTCACATAATGGGATATTGTAATCTGGAGAAAGTTGTTGTAATCCTGAGTTGTCCCCTGATGGACTGGCCAGGGTAAGTAGTGTTGGAAGAAAAACATGAATTACTGAAGTTGTTCCCATCCCACATGAAAAACTGACTGTAGTTTTGCCCTTTTCATGGTGTTGGAGGAGCAGTTTTGCCGGGAGTTTGCAAGGCCTGCTAATGGAGCAAAGAGCCCACCACACACTTCTGGTGCAAAGGGCCGTATAGGAGGAACCAGGGCTGGGGTGTTCTTCACTGTATCTTAATAAGAGTCTGGCTAGGAGGTAATCAGCCAAACCTGAAACACATGGTAATTGATGCTGAATCAGAAAAGACAGAGTGTATTTCTCCCATTGTAGGCAACATTCTGAGGGAGAATACACAAATTTCCTGTATTGTGCTTTGGATGGAAATATAGAAGGTAAACTAATGATTTCTCATGATTCTCTTGGCCTTTTCAGTGTTTTTTTTCTATTTGCACTAATTTAGTGAAGGCAGCTGGTAGAACATACATGTGTTTGCACAAGCATGGACTGAGCCAAAGAGTGAGGGCCAAGGTGAGCTGTGACCCTGCTGAGCTCTCTGCTGTGCAATTGAAGAATGGCTTGTTAATTGACTGTGGTTTTATTTCACAGCTCATTTAAAGAATTCAGAAACTATGTTTTTTAGTTGACATATTTTCTTCCCCCAATGTAGATTTGAATTTTTTATCAATTTGCTTCTCTTTCTTTCAGCATCCTTCCTGATTTTTTTTTTTTAAACCAACCAAATCTGACAGCTGTTTTAAACAGGGTTGGAAACAGGCTATTGCTTCTTTGCTGTCAGCACTGGAGTCTATGTGCTTAAAAGTATATATATACACATATTTATTTATATTTACACATATTTCATTTTACAGCATGAAATTATAAGGCAGAAACCGTTCATGTAATATAACAAAAATGCTATGTGCAACTCTTCCACTATATCATAAAAACAATACATGGTAAATCACAAATATTTGCTTGTAAAGGACAGCCTATTTAAAGCTGGAGTCTCACCTACTTCAGTTTCAAACTAATTAAAAGTTGTCATTTAAAACTACTGAACTTGTGTTTTGGCCCCACAGTAAATCAGAGTTTCAAGGTTATGTGATTTCAACTAGCATAGAGTGTGAATTATTTCTGAACTTGCACAGAGAAAGAAAAGCAAAAATAAGCAGAAATATTCTGTAATTAAGTTCCATTACGTGTCCCAGCTTTTATCTTTCCTCTCACTTCAATGGCTTTGGAGTCCATGAACTGCTGCTAGACCCCAGTTTTAGCTCTTGGCTCTCTTTGCAAATAAATACTTCCACAGTGTGGACCAAACTGTAACTTGATGTCCCCTGGCAAAGGAAGTGATGAGTAGTGCCCTGAGCGCCTACTGTGCAGTGACTTCCTCAGGCGCGCACCCTGCAGCAGGGAAGGAGAGGGGATGCAGAAGACCCTACAGCTGAGTCCCCTTGAGTGCTGGCCAGTAACAAATGAGATTAAATGCTCTGCACTTCCCAGATTTCCATTTTATATTTTCTCCACCTGATAAATGGGTGGTGTTTCATCATGGCCATTTTGCTCTAATTTTCAGACCACTTGTTGCGTTCTCTCCTGATGGAAGAGCAGTCGTTCTCAGCATCAGACTCTAACCTCTTCTGGCTTTTAATCAGGAGTTACTTCCAAGAACAGGGCAACAGGCTGGGTGAGTCCATGTAGTGGCCTTGCTGCTGGAATGCCAAATGTGCCAAATAATGTGCTGAATGCTATATTAATTAATGTGAAGCCTTTGAATCTTTTGGCAGGTTTATTTCAAGCAGCTTATTTTCAGCTCTGCTTTTCAAATATATTCATTATGTTTTAACAGTGCATAATTGCCCCAGATGTCCCCCCTTAACTTTAATCAAAAGCATCTGACACACCAAATGATACTTTCATTATTGATATGATATTATTAATGGTCAGTTATCCTTTTTTTTTTTTTTATGGATTGGGAAGATCAGTGATAGGACACATTTCTTGTGTCCTAGGGAGAGGAGGAATGTCAAAAGGCCTTTACTGATGGGTTTCTGATAAAATATTTTGACTTGACTGGATTCAGGCATGTGCTCTGTGCTGCTGTGCTGGCTGACTTTCAAAGCTCTTAGAAAATGTGCCTGTGCCTCTGAGTTCCTGTGCCAGTTCTCTAGCTGTTGTGCAGATCAGAAGGGCAAGTTTCAGGTCTTCTGCTCTCCACGTGCAGAGTTGTAATTTGTAGTGCAGGCCAAGTTAATAACCTGATTAATTTACTTATACCTGGCCTTCTGCCACAGAGTGCAAAACATGAATCCTGAAATAGGCATCGGTGCCTTTGCTTATGAAACACAAGTCACAAACTGGCAATTGTTTTAAACCTAAATTCAATATCAATATTGATTGGGATGGGGAGGAATGATCAATACCTACGTGTAGTTAATAAGTAATTTAGAACTCCAGAATCCCTCTCTAGTGAAAAGCCATCATGACTAACTTGTCTCTCAAAAAATTAGATAGAAATAGAAATGTATATTGTGGGCATTAGGGCCTAGCTCTCAGTTATGGTGAAATCTTAAGAAAAAAAACCTTAACATCTTCAAAGTTTTGTGCTGGATATGTTAGCTTAACTGCAAAACATTTCCCTTTCTTGAAAGCAATTTTATTTTGCTTCAAGCCTCATTCTTTGTTACTCCTAGGCTTCCTATCACTGCAGTGACTTTCAGCAATGCGTGTCCTTTAAGACCAGTAAACACAAATATCTCTGCTGCCAAGATAAACTGCATCTTCAAAATCCCAATTTTCAAAGTTTTGCACCCTCTTCAATTTGCATATGTGTGCATCTATGCGTACATGCAAACTCCTAAATCCTTTTTGACACACTTTTAAGTTTCTTCTTGAATTTTTCTTCCTGGTAACAAATATTTTAATGGCATCAGCTATGAATACTTATTCAGTTGATCTTAGATTTAGCTCAAAAAAAGATGAATATTTTAAAGCCAAAAATACAGAAGGTCATTGCTTCTGGGAGAAATGGATGGTGTGTAAAGCATAGCAAGATGCTAATTCTTTTCTCTGTCACTGGCTTTCAAAACCTGGACAGATTTGGAGCCAGAGGGACTGGCTTTTTATGGAAGCCTGCTGAGCTACCACCTGTCTGCTGAGCCACATCTCTTAGTTCATCTAATTTGCAAAGTCAAACATATTAGCCAAAAGGACCACAAACATGGTGAAAACAGAGGACAAGAAGACAGTCTTCATTTACAAATTTCAGCTCTTTGATTCAGGGCAGAACAGGGAAGGTTACTAAAATGAGTATGGGGGATGAAAGAGCTGCAGACTATCTTGGGACTTCAATTTGGGAAGGCTTTGGAGTTTATGGCTAAAGCTTACAAAATCATGGAGATATGGTTAAGGTGACTACAGAACTGTTATTTCCCTTAAATACAAACAATTAAATACTTAAATTCTTAGGGAGGTCATTGAAACTGGTGAGAAACTATTTTAAAGGATGTAAGAGAAATTATGTCTTTATGTAGTGGGCATAACCTGGAACTCATAGCCTTGGAAAATAAAGGAGGGAGAAGGTGTCACCAGCTTCAAAGTGGGACTAGAGAAAAAGGAATGCTGTTACAGGTCATAGATAGAGATGTATACACTTTTGTCTGTGTGCGTCTGGGTGAATTGATTATGGCATGAATGTTATCTTGAATCTACAATTAAGTCACTGTTTTAATTATAGTAAATTCTATTGAATCACTTTATTAATGTCAAAGTAGTCAGTGATTAAGTTCTTGCTAAACCCTTTTGTACCCTTATCTTTTTTCATCCATATCATTTGCACCCTTCCTGGTTGCTGTGTAAATAATTTTGAATTGATTTCCCTTTGTGGGAAATATTAGAGTGAACCTTGCCATTGAACTTTCACAAATTTATATTAAAATCTGCTTTTCACCAATGCTTTTGATGGTGATTCTCTAAGCCTCCCAGAACACCCATTCATGACAGGACTGCCCCAAAAGGAGGGTCACAGCTCTTTGCTGTGGGACAGGTTAGTTTGTTAGTCAGTGACAGCCATGTGTGAGTGTCTTGAGGGGAGACACAGCCTGTTACCTGCATCTGTCCTGATTTAAGCTGCTTGTTGGCTTGCACCATGCAACTGGAAGAAGAAAGTGGGCTGAGGAGCAGGGCCAGGAGCCAGGCAAGCTGTGTCTGGATTTCAGATGATGAGCTGGACCAGTCTCCAAAACTTGGTTTTCTCTGTCTTCCTGGTGGGACAACTTTATAAACACTTGAAACTGCTCCTCCCCATGAGAGTTTATGAAGGGAGAGTTTTTCTGTTTGTTTGTCTTTTGTCTTCCCTTGGTTCATATTTGTATTTCTCACAGTGTTTTAAAAATAGGTTCAATAAAAGCTCAGAGTCCACCTGCAGAGTATCATAATCTCACAAAATTTCTGCAATGCTGGAAGCCCTGTGCAAGACACCTAAAATCTGAATCTGGAGAACAAAAAGAGAATTCTCCCCCCTGTGCTTTGTGGCTGCAGGAGACATGTGCTGGCACAGGATACCCCTGGGCAACCTTATTCTGGGGACAAGGGAGGTCCATTTACAGCACTGGATGAAAGCCAGCAGCAGGAGGAGCTCTAAGGAGTTGTGACAGCTTATGTAAAGATGAGCTGCAACCTCCAGGGAAATGAAACAGGAGTTCACCCACTTGTTCTCCTGTAATCACACATCTGTAAAGCATTCTAGAAATGAAAGATGAATGACAGCTCCCATGTTGTGCTGCTCATCTCCTGGTGAACACAGAACTGAACAGCAGCTGAAATTTGATGGACAGATTTCCCAGAAATAAGAGGATAGGAAACAAAACTAATAGCTTTGGATGAAGGCATGGCTGTGAGTATTTTTCATCTGAGCTCTGTTTTCTGTGGGTGAATATGATTATTCCAAGGTTTGAGGCTCACATCATTCATACTAGCAGTGTATTGAAATCATACAGTTCATTGATGTGGCCAGGCAGAATGGGATAAATGATTTCAGGCTACCAGCTAATGGCTGTCTCTTCCTTATGTTCCCAAAGAGTTGGGAAAAAGCCCTGTGAACCTTTCCTCTCTGTTTGTCAAAGATTACTTTTGTGTGTCCACTGGGTCTGAAATATTTGATGAATGCTTTGAAAGTATTGTCAAAATGAAATGTACGATTGTGTTTAATTCTGCAGATCATGTGGTGTTATTTCTGGTGGCTAACTGACTGATGTGTAGAACTAACTTTCAGCAAGATCACTGATGTCAAAGTGCAGATAGAAGATATTTTTTTAGGAATTTATTGATATGAGGTTAAACATAGTTTTTTTGTTTTTTTAATTATCCAGACTCATATAATTTTAGAAGTATTTACACAAAATTAAGGGGCATTCATACCGTGAGTGTATACGTATACATATGGGGAAATTTAACATGTTACCTAAGGCCCAGCAGTAGCAGCTTGTATTTTGTAGGGTAAACATCCCACCAAAAGATCAGCAACATCAGTGCTCTTAAAAACACTGACTTGCTGACATCTTATTTTCTGTGAGATTCACGTCCTGCCTACCTCCTGGTTTCTCTTTCTCTATTCTAAGGTGTCCAGATCTTGGAGATCATGCTTGGCTCCTGAATAGGCTCAGAAGGGATGGGGTCCCATTTGAGGTGTATTGGGTTTGCTTGACATAGCTCCAGAGACAAGATACCAGGTGCCTGCAGGCTGTGAGGACTCCCTGGCCAGCGTGGCGGGGAGGAATGCATGCACATGTGAGAGTCCTCAGCATGACATTGCACAATCTGCAATGGCTTCAAATGTGGAGTGTGAAGACCAGGAATTAACCCCATCTCAAAGCTCTTAGTACTCACTGCTCAGCACAACTTCTAGAGCAGCAGGCTCCATGCCAGACAGCACCGTGATTTATTCCTCACTCTCAGCAGGGCTGGCACATGGTGCAGGGCTGGGTACCCACAGCTGCATGCTCTGTCTGACCTCTCCTCTCTTCACCCCGTCAATTTGCTGCAGTAGCTCAGGTGCATGAAAAAATCCCTGAGCTAAGAGGATTAGTGCCAAAGCCTATAGCTGATGGAAGAGCTGTGAGCACTGTCTATGCCTCAAACCTGGCAATTCTGCACATCCTGACTTGCATCTTCCTGTGGACATTGATATTGTTCCTGAAAGAGTTTGTGTTCCCCTGACACCACACCTAACTGCCACAAAACCACACCCAGTTTACTTCTACCATGGCTCCATCACTTCTTCATCCATCTTCTGGAGTCCAGGCCCAGAGCTTCTGCTCATCTCTTAAAATAAATGATTGGTAAGTGAAGTTGTGTTCAATTGCCAAAAAACTGTTCACAGTAGTTCCAGACAGAGCAGCAAGGGTTAATAGCTGTAGGTTGGGGTTCAGAGGTAAAACTATAAGAAAAATTACTTCACTGGAAGCATAGTGAAGCAGCTCATAGGGGCTGCTCAACCTTGGATCTTTTCAAGATGTGGCTTGACAAAGGAATGACAGATCTGAACAAGTGAGGGTAATGGCCCAGTTTCAAAGAGGAAGCTGAATTAAGCCATCTTCAAGCAATATTTCTACGTTTTTGTGACTGTCCATGCTCTTAAATCATTGGAATGGTCCTTTGAATGTGTTTGGCCTGGGGCTAGTATCAGTG